CCCCCCCCCCACCCATGCAAAGACAAGCCCCAAGAGAGAGTAAGTAGTAGAGAAAAAGAGGGGTTCTGACAATAACCCGCTAGTTCATTACTTTTCCGCGCCCCGACCCCCTCCTCATGCACTCCGCGGAGCAAACCCATGGGCTTTCTTTCTTTCCCTTTTGCGACCCTGCATACTTTTACGGACTTGGGGACGAGGTAAAAATGAAATGAAATCATGGGCGCTTTTTTTTGGTCTCTTGCGTTTTAGGCCTTGATACATGCACACACACACACACACACACACGCAAATGCCCATGTAAATCCTTGGTCATTCAAGAGTGTGGTAGTAAAAGAGGCAAGTTACATATGAACCGGGGAAAAGCTATTAACATATGCGTTTTTGTCAAATGCTGCTATTCTCTGACAAATCTGTAAACTGAGGAGAAGGGGGGGGGAAGAGAAAACGGTTTGGTGACGTTTTAATTATCGCCTTTTTTTTTTCTTTGGCTTTCAATGCGTTAAATTCACGTCTTGGAAAGTAAGTTAGTTCAGATTTGGAACCACAGAGAGAGAGAAAGCGCGCGCGAACAAGGCAAGAAAAAAAAGCAAGTTCGCAAAAAAACAAACAAACACAGCAGTTGTTAAAATACCGCCAAAGAAAAAAAAGTCAAGCTTTCTTTGTTGCAACGGGAGTTGCCGAGATGCGGCGGTCATTTTTTTTTGGTCTTGGGGGAAGAGCTACTTTAGTTACAAACTAGGTGTACTTTGGACCGTCAAGTGCACATCTATTTCTTTTTTTGGACATGGGCGGGATTAAACCAGGCCAGTCGGCGCATGATTGCAACATGCGGCAGGTCAAGGGGAGGGATCGGCCTCCGTGCGTGGTTTTACGGCAAGAGCATGTGCGATGCCGCTCAAAATGCCGATAGCATGCGTGTGTGTACTATGTGTGCATGTGTGTGGACTTGGATGGATGAGGAAAGTGCAAAAGGTGCGGGAATAAGGGCCAGGCAGTGGGGAGGGTCGAGGGGGAGAGGGGGGCGAAGTGCCATCATTGGGTGCAACCGTAACGATACCAAGGGAATTGTGGGTATAGTGACGTCTTGGGGGGGTGTCGCGAGTCGAGTCGAGTTAGGCGTACTGGTACTTTGCCTAGGTAAGTAGTGTGAGTTTGGTTGGTTGTAATTATGTCGTGCATGGGATTCTTGGTTCAACGGCGCTGCGACGGTGAGATGATTAGCTGAAAAGGGTGATTGGAAAGACCATGGCGGGCTATCCAATCCTCTTTTCGCTTGCAAGACGTAATAGTCTAAGTTGATCAAAGGGCATCGTGAGGGACGACTCGACTTTTGGGGCCATGCCCTCCCCCAACCGGATTTTGCAACGCAAAGTCCGAAGTTCCACGCCAATGAACACCTGACTATCACGCCATACACCGTATCCACAGCGCCCGTTGATCTCTGGGCTTGCCTCCACTGTTGCTTGCGCCCACCTCACCGCCCGTGCAGGCCCCAGCCCGCCGACTCATGCAACCGTCTCCCATCTCAAACATGTCACGCCTGACGACCCGTATCATACCAGCCCGCCGCCCCCGTGCCTAGGACCCTTTTTTGTTTCACCACCCCAGCTGCAGAGCACTGCCAAGTGCTTGTGTCTAATATCTGAATTTCAAAGGGTGTGGCATTGCTATTTTGCTCGACTGCCGCCATAGATTGCATTTCCGCGATAAGCGAAAAAACGGATCCTCCAAGTGCCGAAATTGCTTCGTGAGGAGCGAGTGACGGCCAATACAACACGGGCCATGTATAGAACCTGTATGATATTGTAGAGATACGCGAAATGTGGAAATTACACTGGGCTAGATCTTTGATACAGAAGAGAGAATATGGAGAGAGAGAAAAGGGGAAAGAGTCATGTGCCGAACAAGGTAAACTCGATGTTGCATTCTATGCATTTCCTTAATGCAGTAATCTTCTCGTTCAATGGAAGAAGATAATAAGAAAGGGGGAGCGATGGATACATACTGTGTAGATCTGGTAGTGATAGGAGAGAGAGAGAGAGAGAGAGAGATGTGTTGCATGATCGGTGTGACTGCGGACCAACTTCTAGTCCCGAGAACCAAACAAAACTCGTAGCCTCTTTGCTTAGTAGTACGTAGTAGCAAGTAGTACACATTCAACACCACAAAGAGGCAAATTCATCTCCAACCCACAGTAAACCACTCTCTCCAACCGTGTCCCCTCATTATTGCCCTTCTCATCTACGCACCAAATACCCCAATCTCCAACCCTATTCTCAACGGTTTCTACCCCGAATCACTGGGTCCAGCCACCTCCCCCTTGCATACCAAAAAATCCTTCCCGCACCACGTCGTTGAGTGGGCGAACGGTGGTCCCCAAGCCCACGGGATTGGGGCTAGAATGTTGAAGCAAGGGGGTGGCGGGGAAGCTTTTTTTTTCTGGCTGCGAAGTACATGCCCGGGACGAACAGTGCTAGGTAACTGGTTAGGAAGGGGAAAAAAAGGCGCCCTATAGCAATAGGCCTCGGGTAACAACACCGAGGGACATGGTAGTTCCGTGCCAGCGCAGCTAGCACCGAGTACGTACCAGTAAATGCAGCACAAACAGCAATGCAAGAAGAACAAGTGTTTTGTCAGGTTGGAAATCAACCGTAATGTAGTCGTGATTCTCTAGCGCTTCTCTTGCGCCTTTGGTATCTAAATTGAATCCGACTTTGCTTCAACCGTCGTCAAAACCCTATGAACAAGAACGAAAAAGAACGCCTCTGCTTCCCAAATCTAAAAGACTCCTCAGGAGCGTGTTTGGGACAAGCAACAAAAGAGAAGCCGTAATGATACATATCAATATAAAATAAGCCAGTATCAAAATCATACCCAGCCGGGTTTCGGTCGTGATACACTCTTGATCAATGTCAAACTGAAAACGCCGCCAAATTGCTCAGCATCAAGCCACAGTGGTGCATGAGCATAAGGACGAGTTTTGCAACGCCCGTGAATGTCTAGTCGTTGAAAATGGGGAACTCCGAAAACAAAACAACCTCGCCGGGTCGTGAGCCAGTTGCGCCGTTGCATGCCGAAGACCGCAGATATGGAGAAAAAAGTAGTGACGCCGGTGGACATGCAGCCCAGTATGCATAATTCAAATGATGCAAGTCGCTCTGATTGCATCGTCGTAATCGTGTGCCTTTTGAACATGGAAATGAGGGTGGGTGTGGTGGTGGTGGTAGTAGTAGTAAGGGTGCATTGGGTATGGCTCAGAAGAGACCTCCCTCAATGACGCCTGGCTCGTCGTCGCGAAGCTGGCCACCGCTCTTCTTGCGGGGCCATAGCTTGCTACTGACTCGCTTCCAACTATCTCTAGTAGCGCTAGCGAGACCATTGTGCTCTCCGCGGCTGTTGCGGGGGCTGGGGGTGCCGCTGCTCGGAGCGTTGTCGTAGTAGGCATGGTGGAAGTCAGTCATGGGGTATTCGCTCACAGGCGGAGTACCGGGTGGGGTGAGGGGATCGCTCATGCCAGAGGGGCTGCTTGCACTACCCGAGTCATCGGTCAATGCATCGCTACCGCTTGCGTAGCCCGAGGTGACGCGGGTTGCCGGTGGCGGGCCGGACGACGTTGGCTGAGAGTGGAAGCGAGCATGAGAGAATGGGCGGGATTGCATGAAGCCAGAAGTGAGCGAAGATGGCGCGGATGCGCGTTGGTGGGCGGGGACTGGCGGGTGTGAAGCACGAGAGAGCATGCTTCGCTCCTCGTAGCTGCGGGTCGACGAGCGCGAAATGTTACTTCCGGCATAGCTGTCGTGGCCGATGGTGGGATGTGCACTTTGTGGGCTGACCGAGTTCAGGAACGAGACCAATACACTCTCTTCCATGAGTTCGTTGATCTTGGCCACGGCACTGTCCAATGATGATGGGTGAGGAGGGACGTAGGAGTCGGATAGGCTGAGCAGATTGTCACGGACTTCGGCTGGAAGGTTGACCTATGGTTGGTTAGTAAGTTGGCGGGGGAGGAGTGATTGTGGGCAGCAGTTGCTTACTTCGCGCGGGCCTGACTCGCGAATGTAGGCATCGATCAAGCGACGCCAGAGCATGAGGACGTAGGCGCACTCGTCCGATAGCGGTGAGATTGGGCTGCCAGGATGGCGGCTGACCATCTTGGAGTAGTGCTTGCGATAGCGGGAGGCATCCATTGTGAATTCGAGGTTCTCGAGGCAGTGGTTCTGCGAGAGAAAGGCCATGAAGGAAGTGAGGGTGTATGGGGGAGGGGCGGTGTTGTTGAGTATCTCTGCGAGGTTTGGTTTGCGGCATTGTGGGCTGGGAATGTTCTTTGGAATGGAGACGGTCAAGGGCGCGGGCTGCGCATGGTGGTGGTAGTCGGCCATGGCCATGTTGGAATGGTGGCCGTCAAAGTCGACGGGGGAGCGGGCGGGGGAGCTCGAGGCGGTCGACGACGTCTTTATGGAGAGGGCGTGTGCGGCGGGCTTCCGGGTGACCATGACGCTCTTCCAGAATTGCTTGTAGACACGGCGGGCGTTGTTCCTGCTCTGCTCGTCGAAGCCGTCGCAGGGACAGAGGTGGACTTGTTGGGCCAGCTTGACGGCGGGAGGGCACTCGGTTCAGCGAGAACCTAGTGTCGACAGGCCAGCGGGAGGGTGGGTGGATTAGGACGTCGACGGCAGCAGCATCGAGGGCTGGATTGGTGGAGGGCGGGCAGGCGTGCTTGTATAGTGTGTGTGTGTGTGTGTGTGTGTGGGTGGGGGTGAGTGTGTGTATGTGTATGTGTGGTGGTGGTGCTAGTAAGACAGGCAGGGCGGTGGATGTGCGTCAGGTCAGGACGTGGTGCATCTGCGGCTCAGCGTGGTTTTGAGCGAAGCGCCGTCGAGAGTCAGGGAGTCGGTCGCTGGCGTCGCCGGGCCCATGCGTGGGCAGAAAGCTCAGTCAGAGGGCACGGGCCCGTCCCCACCCAGCGGTTTGGCCATCACGGAGCATGAGGACAGGACGGCTTCGTCTGCTAAAAGCGGCCACGCGCGCCTTCGCTGCCATTGGCCGCCGCTGCCTTCTGGAAGACGCACGCCCGCCCCACCACCGCTGCACCGCACCACCACCACTACCACCACCACCATCCCGGCCGAAACTGCGCGCCCCCCTCGCCTGCTGGCGCCCTGCTCCACCATTCGCCACGTCCGATGTGGTCATGGTGCTGCTGCTGAGCTTGTCTTGTGTACCCGTCCCTGTATGTGCGACTGCTAATGCGACGCCCGCTGCTCCTCGCCGCCTGCCATGGGTCTTGAGCATACCCTCACTACTGCTGCTGCTGCTGCTGCCATCATCATCATCATCCTCACTCCATCCTCACTCCACTGCTCCCCACCCACAGTCCCGTGACCGCTGCACAGAAGGAAAGAAGAGAAGAGAAGAAAAGAAAAGAAAAGAAAAAACTTCCCCCCAAAAAGAAAAGCAGCCGGCATACTGGATGACGGCGCTATGCTCTGGCCTGCTCCGACGGCGTGGATGCCAGTAGAGTAGTACCACTGCCCGCTGCCCACTGCCACTGCCACTGCCTGCTGCAGCCCAGCACGGTTGTTGTTGTTATCTGACCCCAGCAGCCTTGTCCGTCGTCGGCTGCTCTGTCGCTCCGCCGCCGTCATCCTCTTGCTCTTTCTCGCCCTAATGTCCGCGCCCTCGCTCGGCCCTTTTCTCTCTTCAAGCATCAAAGGCCTACTACACCATGGCCCCCGCCGTGTCGACTCTTTCCTTTTGCAGTCGCATTGTTGCGCGTACACCCGCTGCTAGCTGTCTTGGTTGCCGCAGCCGCCGCCTCTCCACACTGACAAAACTACCTACTGGCATTACAGCATGAGGGTGAGTGAGTGAGTGAGCGAGCGGGACGAGCAGCAGTATGCACGCCTGAGGCCTCAGGCCGCCGCTTGACGGCAAAACGACGGCCGCCGCCCGACTCGCCCGACGACATCACTAATCCGCCATATGACTCTGCTGGCTCGCTCTACCACATGTCCATGGCCGCCGTCTGTATACTGACTCTTGGTGTGTGTCTACTTATGTCGGTACTTGTCGTGCTTTGTCCATGAGCCAGCCACACTGCACTTCACTCACTCACTCACGCACTCACCAACCCGACTCACCCAACCGCCGTCGACACGCTTGCCAGCGCCGTCGCTGGTGCAATGCAACGCTCGCCTTGGGCCTCGTCACACACGGCCAATCATGCCCACCCGCTCCCCTCAGACAGGCGAACGGGCCGTGCACGGCCACAGGCTTGGCATTGGCCCTATGCCTGGGGACAAACGCGTCCCTGCCCACACGTCTGGCCGGGAGCCGTCTCCGTATAGCCACAAATACCTGACACAAGACAATCCTCACCCATCCATGATCCGCACGCTGTCTCTACTACGCAATCGAGATTCCAGTCTGCCGCCTTAGTGCCTTACTCTACTCTTCTAGATGCCATGTTTCCCCTCCTATCCTGCATGTAGCATACCTTCCCCTCTCTGCTGTTCATGCCTTCCCCAAACCCCCTTCCTTCTGTCTATCTAGACTTCCATGGCCCATCCATCCGCCCTCTGCCGTTGTCCGTCGCGGTCCGACTCTGGCTTTTTTTTTCCTGCTAGCTGCCATCATACCCTCCTACGTAAACCCACTTAGTCAGACCACACACCGCTTACCCCTGCCTGCTCACCTTCTGCTCTGGCAGCCGTGTCATCGAAGAAGACTTCTCGAAGCTTTTGCGCTCTTCTAGAATCCTGCCTGATGCCGTTTAGGGCCGTCTGCCCGCTCTTGCCTGTCGATCCATCAACCATGCCGCATAATACCCGGCCTACTAACACCAATGCCTGTCATCTCATCTTCACCTCGGACAAGCCCACACACCCGACGCATCCTTATGCTGTTGGGATGCTGCTTCGGCCCATCTGGCGAGCCTCTTGTCGCTGCTGTTGCTGCCGCACTTTGCATGTCCTTGTCTGCCTGCCTGCCTGCCTTGTTTACACTACCTGCCGTGTTCGCTCTTGCTTTGCGCCTCGCCGCTTCGTGTTCCCTCTTTCCGACAATAGCCGACTCAACGATTCAGTCCCCAACTCAAGTTCCAGATCTCCTTACTACCGAAAATTTTTGTGTTCCGCCCAAACAAAGACAAACTCGGCTCAGTAGCCCCAAGAGAAAACCTGCCATGACGCAGCTTGTGGACCGCTTTGTCCTCGTTGGTCCCAAGTCGGAAGGAAAACGTCTCTCATCTTCTCTCCGCTTCACCGCTTCGTGGCGTTTGCTTTTTTTTCCTTCTTTGCCTTTGGCTTCCCCATTTCTCACGTCTGTTCAAGCACCATGGATGAAACTAAGTGGCTGCCTTGGCATCCATGTGCACACACTTACGTTCGAGCCTGATGTCGGCACGGCTTACCCTCTCCTTGCATATGGTGGCGCCGACTATGCAGAGCCATGGCTGCTTTTTTCCCTTTCTCTCTTGCTCTTGCTCTCTGTCCTGCTGGAGCCTCTCAGCCGCGGGCTTCCCTTTCCCAACGACCACGTTTTCGGGAAAAGCAATCTGTATTGCACCGGCCGTTTGATTGCAAACAATATACCCGTCTTATATGACCGTGTCAGCCGCGTTGATGATGTTGCATCGCATATTCGTCAAAGTGGAACCTGAGGCCCTAAGCACGGCAGAGGATAGACAGAGACCGAAGCAGAGCAGAAGCTGATTCCTGTATTTTCAATCTTAACCCGCTAGGCTCTGCTCAAAGAGCTTGGACTGCAACCACCTCTCTGTCTCTTTTTGATTTTCCTTTGCTGGTTATGGACCCGGCGGTGGGTAGTCATAGCTGACCAGACCAAAAAGGCCAGGTATATTTGAAACCGGCCCAGATGGAGCGCGCTGACACCATTCCTCTCCAGGCACGGATCATGTGCGGGTTAGTTAGCAAAATATTGATTTGACAATAAACCTCCATCTGGAGTAGAGTATAGAGAAGGGGGAAAAACAAAGGCGGCAAAAAGGCGACATGCTGGCGGTCAATCAAACATGCTTCAAACATATGTCTCGAGCCACATGCTGGCGTCGATCCTATGCGGCCAGTTCGAGCCTCGCTTCTCCCCCCAAGCCGCGCGTGTGATGACAACGATGATGGAATCTAGCTGACTAGTAGCCGAGCGACGTTTTACCTAGGCCGCCTGTAACACGTCTGTGGAACCGCTCGGGCTACCTGTCTCCCCGGAACATGACTTTCGTGGGGACTCCCATGCTTCCCACGCCCTTGGTTTGTTTCACACTTTTCTTGGGAATGTGGGACAGACGGGGTGGAAGGGTCGCTCTAATTACTGTAGTATACCAATAGTTCAAATGCTCGTTAATCGGAAGTGCATGGTCCCGTTGGTGAAATCTGCAGCCGCATCCCGGCCTTGGTCTCGAGCGCGGCAACATCAAGATTCCATCCTTTGGTCCTCATTTCGTCGCCGTATTTGTCAAACATCCTCCGCACCTCGTACAGCGTATCTTTTAGCTCACCCACCAACCCATGCTTTGTTGCCGCCTTAGCCGCCCCAGACGCTACTACACCGTCCGGCTTACCCCCTAACCCACTTCTTGTTCCTCCACCATCACCACCACCACGTTGCCTTCTCTCCGCAATGAGCAGTGCATGTGCCCACGCCCTAAGCTGATCAATCGGTCCGCACCCAGCCTTGAGCACGATGACAGCTTCGTAAGCGGCAGGTTCCCCAGTCGCCCAAAGCACGTAATCCTCGGCCTCGAAAATGCTCAGTAAATCGTATACATCGACTTCGCTTTCGCCATCGCCGCCGCCGCCGCTGCAAAACGCCAGCGACCCGCTCAGCTTATCACGCCTACCAATCCGGCCTAGCAGTTCCGACAGAGAGGTACCAATCCTACACTTGCCAAGTACCTCGTCATCTGCCCACCGCAGCACGCCACCTCTTTCAAAGATGCGTTCACGCACAGACACCTCTTTAGGACTGAGCACTATTCCATACTGCAAGATGTGACTGAAGAGAATATTGGCTCTCTGTCGATTAAGCGATTGCATGCTGACGGCTCGTACTGCCGCGTAGTTTGTGGCCAGATGTATGACCAAGAGTAGTATAAGCGTGCACCAAGTTGCTAGATCCGATGTGATATGCGATACCACAAAGCTTCCTGCCTGTATGCAATCGTCCGTTGTTAATCCGGCAGTTTACTTGATCTTTTTCGTCCGTTCATGACTTGGAACAGACGGGAGAGGGAGAGATAGGATAAATGAGGGTAAGTACTTACCAACATGCCTAGCAAGGATATGACTGTTTCCTGACTGGAATCTTTCTATTGAAACTCCCATTAGCCTCGCAAGTATATCTTCGTATAGTCGTTGCTGTTTTAACGACCCCTGGTTGAAGTTTCCCCTCTTGACCATGTCCTCGTGACCCCGATTCTACTAATTCCGTTTATTGGACACGGCTTACTATCTTTCTTGACTCGTTGCCCTCCCGTTTCTTCTTCCAGCTTACCCGGCGATAATTGAGATGAGATGATGAAACACACCAATACACGACATGTGTTCAATCAATTAAGAGAGAAGAGAGGAAAGAAGAAGGGGCGATCAAACTTACGGCATTGACTTCTCCCAAATTTCCCGCAGTAGCAAAATGCGCGCTCAAACTCGCTTTTGAGCTCCCCGCACAAACACCACACAATGACCTCAGACAGCTCGCAAAGCTCAAGACAGCTACCCGCAGCGGCTTAGGGAACCCAGGACTCAAACAGTCGAGAATCATGCCCGAGTCATTCAAAATATCCGCAGTGAGACGGTACATTTTGCACTCTGGCTCGAGTGCCGTGCCGAACCGATCCGCAAAGGCTATTGTTGCCATGCGGCCTACGGATTCCTGGAGGACGGAGAGGAGCAATGCAGCGGTAGGTGTGGCATTGGAATCACCCACTCCCACGCCTTTGGTGAATTAGAGGCGATAATTGACAGTGAGGGTTATAGACAAGATAGAGTAGGAAAAAAATGTAAGAAACGAACCTTGTAACACCGCCCTCGAAGCCAACATACCTGCAATCGATGACGAAAAGGCTTGAAGTGAATCCTGTGTTTGCCATTATTTCCTATCCCAAACACTCCATTCTTCCTTTCTCTTTCTCTTACTCGACCGTCTCTTTCCTCATCCTTCCCCCACCCCTCCACATACACACACACCACCCCAAAGCGACAGAAAGAAAAGAAGAAGAGAAAAAAAGGCAGACTCACAAAAATCTGATACTCAACATAATCCTCCGTAACACTCTGCGGAAACCCACTCGGCAAAAACACATCAATGGCATACTGAAGCACGCTTTTATGCGCTTGCTCAGGAATCTACACATGAATCAGCAACCCCACAGAATCATCCAAAAGAAGCACTGTTTGCACTTCTTCCCCCCCCCCTCACTAAACACAAAACCAAAAAAATAAATAAATAAAGAAGATAAAGAAATATGCGTACGATAATATCAACTCTCTTCTCCCCATCATACTTCCCAGCAGCTTGCCTAGTATTCAACGCTGACGACGAAGACAAAACATAGGTCCGAACCACCTTCCCCGCCTCATCCTGCTCACTCATTTGAGCCAGAATACCGGGTTGCAGCGCCATTTTTCACGTCGCTCTCTTGCTTGCGCGATTTGTTTTTTTTGGTGGTGGTGGTTTAGTTGGCTGGGAAAGAAGGTGTGTGGAGGATGCATTGGGGTTGGGTGGGGGCGGGTTGAGGGTCGTAGGGAAGTTGGTGGGGTGGGAGGGGTGGGATGAACCCGGGAGTGTGGTACTGGGGACACGGGGAGGTTGAGTGAGATGGGCGTGTTGGGGTTTTTTTGCGCGGTTGAGGGGGCGAAGGTGAGGATAGGGGAGGGAGGAGATAGAGATACTCATGTGTTTTTTTTTTTTTTTTTTTTTTGGGGGGGGGGGGGGGGGGGGGGGGGGGGGGGGGGGGGGGGGGGGGGAGGGGGGGGGGGGGAGATAGAGATACTCATGTGTTTTTTTTTTTTTTTTTTTTGGGGGGGGGGGGCTGTACGGGTTGTGATGGGGGATGGTTGGTGGTGGCTTGCCTTGCTATCATTTGTATTACATCCACAGGTGCTTGTCTATTTGTGTTGTATAGTTTTTTTTGACGGTCAATAGATTTTATGGGATTTAGGATGATGGAAATTATCTAAATCCGATTACAATGGAGATTTATGTGTGGATATCGTACACCCTGCTTTCCTCGCTAGCGGTTTGAATAGTAAATCTACGGGTACACTACACAATTGCTTCAGTCGCTATGTATGTCTCAGGAAAGAGCCTGAAGACGGAGGTTGATATCAAATCATGTACTCACTTAACTTTTTTTTACAGTCGTTTGCTATATAGCGTATCAGAGCGATTATCTTAAGAAAGAATGGCAGGCCATACCCCAACCTACCGGAATTGGGTATCAAAGAAAATCTGTAGCCAAAGTAAAATGATTCAGGTGAGCAATCAATATATATGCATATATCCTTTCTCATACTATGGGAAGCCAGCACATACTCTTGAATATGTAAACATAGGAAATATCAACTACGTCATTGTTCTCGAGGTCTTACACACACCCAACCCTTTATCATACAGGAATGGAGTAGTGTAGTTAACGTAATCGATATAGCGCTTCAACTACACATGAATATCTAAAGCTTTGAATCTCTAATCCCGTAAGTTTCAACGGTAGTTATTTTGTCAAGGAGACAAGGTGCTGTGGTGAAAAGAAGCTGGTGATAGAATCTCAAGGATAGATCAGGTAGTTATGACAACAAGCAAGAACAACAATGATAGGAACAGTGTGGTCTCAGTATCGGCATCCACCCCAGTACTTCTTCGGACTCTGAGTAAATACATACGCAATGGTGATATTATATTAGGGAGTTTGTCCATGGCGAGCTTTAAGAACTCATGCTATGATAGCTACTTATTCTACTACCCTTCTTTGATACCCGATTCCACCACGTTGGGGTGGAGCCTGCCATTCTTCATGAGAAAAGTACTCCGATACGTTGTATGCCAAACAAGTACAAAATCTTAAAGCCTTTCCGCTGCCTGATACCCCCAAGCAAATATAGTCTCTTCGTGGTCGAGTATGCTCAGAGCCTGTTATTCCGGCATCGATTACAGATCTTCGTTCTATACTTCGAACAGCTGTTTACAAACTTTAGACGATAATCAAATGTTCCACACACTTCCCATTCACCGTCGTCCTCAGCATATGTTCGTTCCCACTGGTGGGCACATTCGCCAGAGGACTGTTTAACATCGTTGGCAATTGCGGATCCTCCCGCCACGGTTGTGAGTCGCATGCGCAGACCTGCCTCAAGTGTTTCGGGCATCGCGATTTGGTGGCGCCGGCCATTTCTAGCTTGTCTGTTGGCGATGAGGCGATCTTCGTGCATGTGAGGGTAGGGACAGGTCTTCCATGGCTTTGCGCAAATGTAACAGAACTCCGTGCCGCATCGACATCTACCCCATTGTCAGTGATGATCAAATTCAGACTCTACTTCGTTCTTACCGCATATGGTAGCAGCCCACAGTTAGCTCGACCAATGTTCTGCAGTTAGGACATTGCTGCCACTCCTCTTTAGTGGCTACTTCTATCAGTGCCTGGACGGATGGATCTTTTGGGCAGACCCCATTGTGTCTTGGGTTTCGACAAATAGCGCAGGTTTCCTTTTGGCAAGTTTGGCACACTGCAATATCAGCGGTGATATTACAAGGCTTGATAAACTTGGCACAACTTCGGTTACTGCAGTATACAGGATTCGGCGTCGTCAGCTCCATCTGTTTGTCTTCGTATTCTGCCATTAGTGATGGTGGACACAATTGCTTGCAAAGAGGCATCGGCAAGGATTTGCCACAGCACCGAGGTGGAAACAGGGTAGTATCTGCCAGACTAGTGTGAAACAAGTCACTCAAGCACGTCCTGCAGTAAGCGTGAGCGGAGTCTTCTGTCGATCGCTTGCAGGAAAGCTCGAGTGCATCGAAGCGCGGATGCAATTCCATACAGGCAGAACATAAAATATGGGTTGCATGCTCGCCATCAGTTGCTGCCTTCCCCTTGCGTTTTCCCTTGAACTCGGAAGGGCCAGGTTCGCTGTATAGATCATGGTTAAACGCGGCAGCTGATTCAATATCGTGTTTTATGTGCTTATAAATGTCCATTATCGTCAATGTCTCCATGCGTAGGTCCACACCTTGTGTTAGGTTTAGGTCCTGGTCTTCATCATTGGCCTTCGGTGGTTGCACCATGTCGCCTCTCTTCGACAATGGGACGTGCTCGTTAGCTATACCACGAATTCTACACGCGAGGTCGTGGTCCTCTTCCGCTTGCCTCTCTTCCCGAAGAAGTTCATCAATCATAGCTTGATTGTCTTGATCTTCTTTGAGGAGATCCATAGCAAAGGCCTGGTCTTGCAAGAGTAACAAGCTGCGTTCCAGTTCATTCTGCAATATATTCCAGGCAATACAATCAACCCCTTCGTTCGGGTCTTGCAGAACTGACTGGATGTCGGCAAGCTGCAATTGAATTGCCAGTAGTGCCGTCCTTGGATCAATGCCTACCAGTCCCATGATTGTTTGGGAGGTTTTACACTATAGTAAGTGACGACTGATGAGGGGTGCTGGCCTCACTTTGTGATTGTATTCTTGTGGGGCTTCTGTAGTTTGTTTCGGTAAAAGCCCGTCAAGCTTCGATAACCACTCACTCCAGGTGAGATTAAATATGTGCCCACTGAAGGACCATGCAAAAGCACAGAATATGGACAAGGCTGTTGTAATGCAAGGAAGACTCAAATAACAAAAAGACTTGATGCACAAGCTTGACGCAATTTTTGATTGTTTTGTGTGGGAGCTTCGCAAATGAGGCGGAGTAATATGTTGTTGTGAAAGTGCTTGAGCACGTGACTAAGCAGATAGACTGCATGACGACAAAGCCTCACAGGCCACTTGAACTCTTCAAGTCACTGCGATTGAGCAAATTAAGCGCAAACGGGCACCCATTTGGGGGAGGGGGGAGGGGGGAGGTCTCGCAGTCAAGCTACATGAGTGTATTATTGCGCCCTATTAGTTACACATCCTGTGCTTTCATTGAGCCAGAAACGAACACCTAGATGTACTAAGTAGTTGATTGTACTCAGACGCCCATTCTCTGCTGCCAGAGATCAGTGTTAATTCGTCTGTAATTGTAAACTAAATTAGTGGCAGGGCCGACCCGCCTCAACTAACCTCTCTATAGTAGAATTTCCCAACCAATCATCCATGACTCCCAAACATTCCCATGTCACCAATTCCATTGTATATGTGTATGTATATTGATATTTTTTATTATTCGAGAGGCCAAGCGAAAGGCTCTCTCCATGTGCTCGAAATTTGATATATAATCAAGTGGGTATCCGTGTTCTCAAATAAAATACAAAAAAAGAAGGAAGGAAAAAAAAAGAAATGTATCCCTTCTCCGCCTCTATGTCCCAGAGAAGAATAGATTGAAGAAGGATTTCCCGTTCCGTGAGGGGAGCCCAAGTTTTTTCCCCCAGAGAAAACAAATATGCTCCTGTATGTTTCTCCACACATTGCCCCTCAACGAGTGGAGTAATTCAATGTCGAGAGCGCCGGAGGGTATGCAAACGATGATACCAAACCAGGTAAAGGAAGACGACTTTTTTCCTCCCTCAAGGACAAAAAGAAAAAGGGGAGAGGAAGGGGAGGAGAGCAGGCACTCAACTCAACTCAACTATCCTCACTCCCCCTCCGCCATCCGCCCACCCGCCCAAACTTGACCTTCCCACCCAACCGCTCCACCTCCTCAACTGCCAAATCGCGCTGACGCTCCAGCTCTTTAATGTAATCAATAGCAACAGCAAGCACCATACTCTTACTGGGCTTGACGCCTCCCGACTCGGACGAGGCATCGCTCTGGGGCAAAAGCGGCACGGCCTTACGCAACCGCTCGAGCTCCGCGTTGAGCTTCTCACGGTACTTGCGCTCGACCTCGGTATGCGGCATGCACTGGGTTCGGGCGTGCTTGGCGGGGCTGGTGCTGCTACCGATGGCTGAGGGTTCCGAGGCCGGGCGGTGGATGCGAGGGCGGCCGCGTTTACGGGGGAGGGGTTTTGAGATGGGGTCCTGGGGTGAAGGGGTGGGATTGGTGGCTACTACGGAGGACAGAGAGGCGGGGCTGCCGTGGTTGCTCGGGGTGGGCAGGGGCGAGGGGACCGAGGGGGGAAAGGCTGACGACGCAGTGTATTCGGGCGATATGTAGCCGTGCTGGAAGTCGCCCGAGGTGCTGAGAGGCGTGGGCACGCCCGTTTGCCACATGGGAGCGAATTGGGGACTGGTGGGTAGGCCGTGGGTGGCGGATGGACAGACTATAGCCGAGGGGGGGCTCATGAAGCCATTGGGTAATGGGGCATTCCAGTTGAGAGAGTTGGTGGGATCCACCGGTTCGCTGGGCCGAGTGAAGCAGGGGCCGCTATTGCTGTCTAGGCTGCTATACTCGGATAATGAGGGATATGAGTCTCCGTAGCAGGGAGATCCGAGGTCGTCTGGAGATGGAAATGTCTCACTCTCTGGAGGAGAATACGTCGGATCTGGGCCTGCGGTGAACGCAGGGAGATTGTGCACAACCATTGCCAAAAAGAGAGAGTGTGAGAGAGAGAGGCAGCGAGGAGGGATTGAGCAAAAGTAAAGTAGTAGTTCAGGAAAAGGTACCTTCTCATATACCTTATTTGCAAGCCGACCCGTTTTTGCAAAGGCAGTAAAAGAGGAATTCACAAAAAAGCAAAAAGCTGAACATTCTTAACTCGTTTAATACTAGAATATTCCCCCGCAACAACCCGGTCTTGTCAGGCCCTGTCTTGCGAGGGCACATGCCAATACCTTGGGATCGAGAAATAGAGCCACAATCGCAAAACCAATGCAACTTGCATCGTACCAGTGTCAGGGGCCACGCACACACCGGCGTTTCCCATGCCTTTAACTCGAAAGACCAATGCATCACAACGACGTCAGCGCGGCTATCTGGTCTGCCTGTCTCGAATCTTCCCGACTAGGCGAGCACATTGTTGGATGTTCGGTGCAAAGGATGATGGAGGGAGGTGAGACTGTAACAACAACAAACTTGGACTTCTTTGTCCCTGCCGGCTTTTGCTTTTGATAGGTATTTTGCATGCTTACAAAACACTCAGAGGATGCAGAAATCATGCGAGTGTTTACATGTCTGCAACATCCAATCTTTTTGCCGAACTGCAAAAGGGTACTTTTCTTTTTTACCATTGCGCAACCGGGTAACATCACGATCTGATCTGCGGCAGGGCTTGGGGGACGTGGGGTGGCCCATATTTTGTGCGCAAAAACCCCTTTCGCCGTTGACGATGTGAGGGGGAAGGCATTTGTCGATGTTGAAAGGGTGCTGATTGTTGAAACGTCGATGACAGGCGGCATGCTAAAGTCGAACGAGGGCGGCTCGGCTTTACTTTATGGGATTCCTGGCCTATCCAATCAGCAGCCTTCCTCGAGTCCCCACCGCATAGGTCCCCACTTTTGGTGTGACCGACAGGATCGGGTACGATTGCCGGTTTCTTCACATTGCAACGACACCAGAATATGGCCGATATCTGCTTCTAGCAATTTCCATGCTCATCCTGCCGGCTTCGCCCAATCTCACCTGTGACAGCTGTCCGCCATCTTCCGCGCCTGGGAACAGCCTTGTGCTCGCCTCGCTCTGGGGCCATGTTGCTATTTGATTGACGGCAGAAGCTCCTTCGGCCCTTCTCTTCCCTCGTCTTGAGGGGGCACAGCAGTCGACATAAGCCAAGCCATGCCTACGTACGACTACTATACTGCTGGCTCCAGGCAATAACGTCCGATTTTCTCTCGTATACTGTACTAGGCAACAAGCAGTGCCACAGGCATCCCCAAGGCACAGGCGCTTAGTACTATATCGCCGTCGTGCACATCAATATTGGGCGGTTGTTGGCTTTGGGTCTAGGCCGTGGCCGTAGATTGAACTATAGACTCGACTGTGGACCTGTGGATCTCGAGGGCATACGCGCACATGGCCGTCGGGACTGACGGCACAGGCTTTTATACTTGTGCCAAGACTCCGCATCACGTTATATCGCAACACCCCGAGTCTGCTTCGACGAGCCTATGGCAGTGTGTGCCTGAGTGTCGGCAAGAAAATCAAACTTCTCGTGAATCTAGGCACAGCGTACACCAACACCCGTCACACTGCGCAGAGACACATCAAACCCTCTCCTGCAGCATCTGACACGAAACTTTGTCTAGACACTGCTTTAAGCTTTGTCCCGGGCTATACTCGAGTCGTGTTGGAGATGCATGGCCGACGTGGCACTAACATGTCCAAGAACCAATTGCGCAAAAGCACTCGATAACTACGTTAGCTGCGAGACCCATGTTAACATGTGCAGCCGTTTCTGTATCCCTCCTAAAAGGTGCAAGAAACACAGGTGCCGAACGTTTACCATGGTCATTCAGTTGCCCGTCTTGTGCGAGTGAATTTTCATATTCCATAATGCCTGACATATCCGTGTGTCAATTTGATAGAGATAACCCGTCCTATCCGTAAAACGCCAAGTTGCCAGCCCACCCCCTCCCCTTACCAATACAGTCCAACTCCTCTCTCTTCCCAGTTGTACAACACACAAACGCATCCAGGCGCACAATCTTCTTCCTTGTATCCAGAGGGCATTTATACAAAAATGAAAGGAACGAAAGGCGTGTCCAGCACCTTCAAGTCAAGTAAACTCAAAGTCTAACATTGGCACCAATCTTACCCCCCTTGAACCAAACATTTTCTCTCCACTCGCCAATCCGTACACCTACATAGGCAAATGCACTAAGCTTGAGCTGCCCGCCAAGCGCCTTTTTGATGGCATCATAACCCAGGCTACCAAACGACCAGTCGACGGGCAGATGCGGAGATTCGGACAGACCCGGGGGTACGGCAAAAGGTAGGTCGTATAGAATCTTGCCAGCCACATGGCCATCGTGGTAAGCTGTTGCGTTCATGTTGGTGAGGTACAAGGTCGTGGAGCGGAATGGTGAGGCCAGAGTGAAAACTGCAGTGCTGCTGATCAGGTGCATTGTGGTGCTGCGGATGAAGTGCGATTTGCCATCGTCATCTGGGTCTTCATCCTCATCGCCATCAGACGGCTTCTTGGGAGTAGACAAGTGCGGCATGGGACGTTCAATGGGAAAGCGTGACAGGAGACGGCCAATGTAGGGTGCGGCTGGCACAGACTGTTCGTGTGCTTGGACGGTTATGGATGTGTTGAAGCCTGTTTTCATATTAGCATGCTACGTGTCCCATGGTATGTTCGTCCGGTCCTACCTGAGATGTACTGAGAGAGTAGCTCTGCGCCAATCTCTTTCCCTTTGTGGCCACCATACTCATAGGGATCCCAATGAAGAGATACGAGATGGTTGGTGTTGTTGCCGGGAACCACCTCCATGTCCTTTACCGTTGCACTGCCAATGTGTGAACCATTAGCCAGGACGTTGACGTTGAAGTATGGGATTGTAGCCGAGTAGTTGGTAGGGTTAGTAAAATTGACCATGGCTGTGATAGTAAGAGAAGTTGGCGAAGTGTCGACGATTGCCATGTTGCCAACTTTGACATTGAGCGCATTCTCTTTGCCATCACCATGACCGGGCTCACTGTCGTTGCCATGACGGATTGCTGAACACAAAATGTTAGCTTGCTGGAGGATAAACAGTCAAACGTGGATTACGAACTGGCTACGAACGTTTGACTGGTACGACTCCCTGCGCTGGGATGCCTCGCACGGCAAGTTTACCCATGGGTGTATCCACACTAACACTGACAGCTGCCTTCAGATCCATCAAGACTGACTTGCCGCCAAAGAGAAGAGCCTGCACAACCTCGCTAAACAGATCGTCGTCTACAATTTTAATAGGTGCGTCTTTGATGACCGACCGGACTAGAAGAGAAGGACCTTCGGAACCATGGCCCTCGACACGCGTCGAGTTTGCCTTTTGCCATTTTTCAAGGTTCAGCTTTCCAAGTATCTTCTTGTGGTAGTAAATGTCGGCGTCGGCCTTGACTTGAGTCACATTGATGGGGAAGTTCATCTCATTGGGTAAGCCAATGTCGACGTTGACGATGCCGGAAATCTTGGGCGCAGCCTCGGGTGTGTCTGGCTCGGCAAACGGGTTGGGCAGACTGAAATGCATGTCTGCTAGAGAAAAGTTTTTGATGAGGTTGCCCATGGATTTGCCCACGAATGGTATAGGCACAATGATGTCTTTCAGAAGATCACGAGCCCAATCGGGTGCGGTTGGGTCTGGGAATTTGCAGCAGTTGATGTAGATGGTCGAATCCTCGCCCTTCATGTAGTCGCCCAGGAAAGTGTCGAGCGGTGATTTGGCGGTGTTGGGACATACTTCAGTGACGAGATTGGAGATTTTCTCGACATTGCCGTTAACATCGACCTTGACATCTGAGTTTGGCTTGACGTGGAGCTGGCCAGTCTGGGCAGTTCCGACCATGAGAAATGTGTCAGCCGAGCAACCCTGGATACCCACATCAACAGCCACGGATGGGAGCGTAATGTCAACAGGGAAGTCGTTTTCGACAACTATGGTTGCGTCTGCAGCGAGACCTTTCTGGCCATGCTTGGCCTCGCCGAGGTTGAGCTTTGTGATGTTGTAATGTGGAAGGGCGGGTATATCGCCACCCTGGAAGACTACAGATTGCTCAATAAGCTGCTTGCCAATGTGAATCAAACCTGACTTGAGCGGAACCAGTGCCTTTGCCTTGAGCCGTATCTGCCCCAGCCGGCCATCGATCCAGTCTTCGGCAATGTTGCGAATACCGTCAAGAGATCCTGGCTGCACAGTGGCATCGAAAACTACATGTGTGGTGTGTCCGTTCCTGATATCCACCTTGACGCCTGGGATACTGGCAGTGCCGACCAGAATGTTGCCATACTCGGGGAGGTAGACTTCAGCGTCAAAGGGGCCTGTCTCAGCCTCGTGGGCGACCCATGTGCCGAAGCGACCGAGGTTGCGCACGCTCTGCTTCTTGACCTTTGACGCGTCCATGGTGAAGTCTCCTTGGATGCGGATCTTTGCGCCATGGCTGGTTAAGCCGTCCATAGAGAGCTTGGTAGGCTTGAAGGTGGCAGCCTGCATCGAGTACTCTTCGATGCTCTCTTTGGCAAGAAAGCCGAGCATGATGAAGATGACGAGCAGACAGAGGGTGATGAGGGCCAGTATGCTCGGCCATCGCTTCTTCCACATCGAGCCTTTAGTGTTGCCGCCCCTATCGGAGCCGCATAGCGACTGGCGCAGTGAGCGCGTCGCCGGCGTGGCCTCGTCGCAGTTATCGTCATGGTCATCGTGGTCATCGTCTACGTCTTGCTGGGACAGCAGGGGTGTCTCTTCGGTGGTCCTGCTCGACTGCTGCGAGCGGACTGATCGCGCTGATCGTGCTGAGCGTGACGAACGGGCAGACCTGTGCGAGGCGGGTCGCGAGCTGGGGGTGCGAGTGTTGGCATCGGTGGTAATGGTGTTGTCGTTGTTATCGTTGTTGTTGGAGGAGTTGGAGCCCCACGCCTCGTCGGGGTTCTCCATCTTCAGCCGTAGGGGAGTCCAGGCGAGAGCCATGTTGGGCAGAGGAGTGGACGGGGAGAGAGAGATGTCAAGTCCACGTCCAAGTCCAAGGGCCGGGACGAGATGGTGTTCATGGTCTCGTCATCATCTACTCAGCCACACGCGCCCACATCCACACACAGCGCAGCAGGGTGGCGGGCCGACGTGTGCCTGTCTGCCGCGCCCGCTAGCCCCCTTCTGACCCCAGCATTCCTGATCATCCCCACTGTCATGCGTCAGAATGTTAGCGTCTTCAAACACTATATCGCTCCTCTGGTGTAATGTGCCTTCTGTGACTCTTACGCTGCAATTGCGCACTTTAAAATCTCTGGACCGCCTGTTCTGACGTCCTGCACTGCAATTGACACATCATGCCCGCTTTCCGCCCTTCCACCGCGGCTCTGCGAAGCTTGCGCCGCTGCTACTCGTCGGCCTCGCCAGCAACACCTCCCACATCGCCCTTTGCGCCGCGACATCTTCTCTCCATAGCTGACCTTACACCTGCTGAGCTCACTACGCTTGTCCAGAATGCACAGCGCCACAAGACTACCATCAAGCAGACAGGAGAGGTCCCCCACTCCATGCGCGGGGCACTGGCTGGGCGCACCGTTGCCATGACCTTCAGCAAGCGGAGCACACGCACCAGGATATCAACAGAAGGCGCCATTGCAGCATTTGGTGGCTCACCCATGTTCCTTGGAAAAGACGACATACAGCTGGGTGTATGGCCTGCCTACGAAACCCGCTACTCCCCCATGTCCGCTAACGTCAATATGACTAGGTCAACGAATCTCTCTACGACACCTCTCTCGTCCTCTCCAGCATGACTGCCGCCATTGTCGCCCGTGTGGGCCCCCACTCCGACGTTGCAGACCTCGCAAAGCATTCGAGTGTGCCTGTCATCAACGCGCTCTCCGACCTCTACCATCCCCTCCAAATTATCGCCGACATGCTCACAGTTTCCGAGATATACCCCTCGACATCTGCAACTTCGCTCGGCCTCGAGGGCCTCAAGATTGCATGGATAGGCGACGCAAACAACGTACTGTTCGATCTAGCCATTGGCGCTACAAAGCTAGGCATCGACATGGCCGTCGCAACACCACCGGGCTACGAGATCCCCCAGTCTATGCGCGAAGTCATCTCTCACGCAGCGCAAACTTCTCCTCGTGCAGGAAAGCTCCTCGAAACAAACACACCCGAGGAAGCCATCAAGAATGCAGACATCCTAGTGACAGATACTTGGGTATCCATGGGCCAGGAAGAAGAAACCGCAAAGCGTCTCAAGGCATTCGAGGGCTTCCAAATCACCTCGGACCTAGCCAAACGCGGCGGCGCAAAGGACAACTGGAGCTTCATGCACTGCCTGCCTCGTCACCCAGAGGAGGTTGCCGACGAGGTCTTTTACGGACCAAGGAGCGTTGTGTTCAAGGAAGCAGAGAACAGGCTGTGGAGTGCCATTAGTGCGCTCGAGGCGTTTGTGGTCAACAAGGGCGAGATCCAGTGACTAGATCCTTGGTTCGAATGACTGGAACATGTAGTATGATTTTATGAATCGAAAAAGAAAGTTGTACCTTTATCTTAGAAACATTTAGCAAGCAAGACCCATCTAATCCTCTATGCGTCTTTCTTCTTGTTCTTGTCTTCTACGCCCTCATCCATCTTCTCCTTAACCTTCTCTCCCAATCCCTCTACTCCCTTCCCCCAAGCCCCAGCCTTCTTCCCCCATCTCACCATCCCCCATGCATGTGTCCAGCTAAACTTTGGCGGTGCATCAGGATGCACCCGGAACGGACTAGCCCCGTGCTTAAACATATCCTCCATTTCCCTCTGCCTGTCTCTCTCGCGCTCTTCTGCAGACAGGACCTTGGTATTCGGCGGCAACGTACTCGACGTCGGTGCAGCAGGATAGGCAGCAGACGACGAGACGCGGTGTTCCCAATGCCGATTCTCCAGCGGAAGAGGGCGCCACCAATCTATCGTATCGACGTTCGCAGCACGATCCCACCATTTCCCTGAGCACATTTCGTAAATCCTGCTCTCAGCTCGTTTAACCGCGAATTTCTCATCTTCACCCGTTAGTCCCCCGATATTGGCAAAGTCAGGAGATCCAGGACCCAAGCGGCGCTCATCCGTGTACGAAGAATCGGGTCTGCGCATGCGGTTTGGAGGGTCATCTTCAAGTGCGTCGTCCGATAGCATGTTATGACTAGAGCCAGCGTAAGACGAGATGTTTGGGCGAAAAGGGGAGTTGAGATCTTGGTAGATTTCAGAGTAGGTTTCGGGGTGTACGGCGTCGGTATCGAGCGTTTCTCCGTCTGTTGCTGAAGAAGAAGGTGGGTGTGCGGGAAAGAATATCTTATCTGGGGCAGCGGCGGCGGTAATCATTAGTCGACAGCGGGCTTCGTACATGGCGTCAAGTAGGGTTATGAGGCGTCTAGCTTCACTTTTCATGAGTAGACCCATGATGGGTACGTCGGTGATGATGAAGGTGTGGTATGTAGAGGCGAGCGTAATGTAGTCGGCGGGACCGAGCACGGCACCGCATAGCTCGGCAAAGGTGAAGAAGGCTACACCGTTGTACTGGGCGGGGACGTGGAGAGCGCGGTTGTATACAGTCAAGGTGGCAGGAGCCCAGGGAATCGGGTATTCGTGGCGTGTTGCCTGTTCAACCAGGGAGTTGAAAGCTTCACCGAATTCAATCATGGTTTCTGCAGTTTGGGGCTGGATGAGATAGTTCTTTGGTAGGGCGGATGCAGTCTCGGTGGATGTAGAATCCTCTGCTGTACTCGTTGCGCCAGTAGCAGTCAAAGTCGTGGCCGAATCAATAGCATCCAGAGTCTCAGACACGGAAACTTGTACGCTGTCCCTCCGTTCAGGAGTTTCCTTTGCGTCTTCCAATTCCAGCTTTCGATAATCCTTCTTCCCTTCCATTTCCCAGACCTCACACCTCGCTCTTAGTACTTCCAGGAATGCCGAAAACTCGCCCAGCTGCCCCGCTCCGTCATCTCTCCTTATGTACGAACTCTTGGTCATGCTCCAGCCTAGTCGACTAAGACGGTGCACTGGTCGTGAGAACTCCATTCCTGCAGCCTTAGCAAGCTCCTCTGGCATGCGGTTGCTCGTTGCGATGAGAACGCCGCCGAGCTGGAAGAAAGACGTCATGAGGTTAGACAAAATCTTGCTCGCGGCACGGTCTGGAAGTTGAAATTCATCTAGGAAGAGAATCGGCGACTTCTCGATCAGATCACGTGCAACGAGAAGCAATGAATACTCGTCATTGGGTGCTCCTGGGCCGGCTACTAATGACCTAGATATTCGAAGTTGCTCAAGTCGGGAAATGGTATCGAGCATGAAAGTATTGAAGTGCCAACGCCGCTTCTTGCGATTGGGCAGACATTCTTGAAACAAGTCGATAACTGAAGAAGAGGTGAGCCTTCATGTCTACAAAATGCTTTCTCAAGCCTTACGCATTGATTTGCCAGTTCCAACTTCACCGTGCAGCATAAGGCCTTTGGGGCTCTGTAACTGCATGGCCTCATCATGGCTAGTTAGAACACGAGTCAAAGCTACTGAATCTCTTTTCTCTTTCTCGGCAAGTAGCGATGTCCATACGCCCCTTCTGCCAAAGCGATTGGCATGCGTATCTGTTGGGGCTGCTGCAGCATTTTGATCTGAACCAACTGCCCGGGAAAGTTGCTGCAGTCGTTTCGAATACTCTACAGTCGGTTCATAGTCGATCAGTCGATCATAGAGTTTCTGTAAGTGCAAGGCTGATGACCACAGTTAGTACATGTACAATGTCCTTGGCGGGTCCAGAATGGTAGACGTCATACCGAGGCGATGCTGAGCGGGATCAGGTCGGATCTTCTGCGTAGCGATGAGACTGCGATATAGCACCAATGGGTTGGTGATCGCAACACCGGTGGACGACATTGGTAGTCATTGGTTTGAGGAAGTAGAACTTGTGTCGCATCGTCCTGAAGACGACATCAAATGGCCGAGGTGATCTGCTCTCACATTGGACTATACTGCAATCGGCGCTAGCGCTTTTGGGAAGTGCCGATACATGAACTGGTCGCAACATCGGACAAGGGACATGGAAAAGATCAGTCCACAAACAAAGGAATAGGATCAAGGTGGTTTGATTCTAAACGCCTGTAAATTAAATGTGGTATCATGGTAACCCCAAGTAGAAATTGCTTAAATACTCATAACACCGGGAGACCATGCATCAGCAATCCGTTTGACTTCTTGAATAAACTTTCGGCTTGTAATCTGAGTTGAGCCAATCCTTTGCTCAGAATTGGCAGTGATTGGAGAATGTTCATCAGGGTCGTAGAACCTAGGTGTTGTTGTTAGCAGTCACAACCCATCAGCCGCCCCGCATCCTCACTTACGGATTCCTGAGCAGCTTTATGTACGCCGTCTGCAATGCTCTGAATGCCTAGATAAGGTCAGAAGATTGTTGAACTGTAGAACATTGGGCTTACAGGTTTCATGTCTGCATCTCGCAGCCCAACAGCAGCAGCAGACTTGTTATCGAGGGGATTGGCTGGTTTTCCCTCCATATCCACGACAATGATAAATTTGATACCAGTGTTGGTGAGCCAGCCATACATAGCTAGTCTCTCATCGACTGCTTGCAAAAGGCCAAAATCCTGGTCTGCTGTCTTATGCGGCAGACGAGCCTCGAAGATGTCCAAACATGATGAAAGAAGGAACTGAAACTCTAGTGGCGCACGCTCTTCTGCTGGAAAGAGGGAGATGTGCAGTGGGTTGTTCTTTACCGATATTCAGTATAGGAACAGGTCAGGAGTAGGTAAATGATGAGGTACTCACGTGCTTGCCAACAACGCCAATGCAAGCAATGGACGGGACCTAGACACAGTCAACACATACTCTGAGCCCTAACCGCATCAACCACCTACCCGACCTGACATTTTTATGCGATATCAAAAGACTACGGCAGTCTTCAAGCACCCTGGGCGTGGATGCGGAGTAGTCTGGCCGAAGTAGTCCGAAAGGGTGTTGGCGAAGGAGTGATCGTTGGCCGGCCTATCAGACGGCGCCAAAACCGACGACTAATCGATTTCCGCCAAGCATTTTGATGCACCTACCTCATCGATCAACTTCGCGACTCCCTCAACCGCCACCCCACATCTCGCCTCTCCACTCCTTCGCCCACGCCTTTCCTTGCTGTCCGTCGCAAACATGCTTTCGACGACAAGGTCTGCTGCCTCAATGGCTCTGCGAGGTTTGTCGCCGCACGCCCGAAAAAGCTCCCGGTCCCGCCAAACTGACTCCATGGACAGTCAAACCCGCGACGGCCTTGATGCCATTCCGCGCCGGAAGCGTAGCCTTTTTATCTTCGAGCTCGTCTAACAATGCGACGACTATGAAGTCGCCTGCCACCATTCCCGGCAACCCTGGAACACCGCCACCAATGAAGTCAGCGCGGGTTGAGGTGCCCTTGCCAAGTCAGGAGGGAAAGAAGGGTGCTATGCAATATGCATTGTATGTGGTTTCTCTCTGAATTGCTGTTGAATATCGAAATGGGCGCCAAGAAGCACAGTAAAGAGCATGAATTGACTTGCGTCAACAGGACAACACTTGACCAAGTTGCCAACTGGGCCCGTCAGAGCTCGCTCTGGCCCATGACTTTCGGTCTCGCATGCTGCGCCGTCGAGATGATGCACTTGTCTACTCCACGATACGACCAGGATCGTCTCGGTATCATTTTCCGTGCCTCCCCGCGACAGTCCGACGTCATGATTGTAGCCGGAACCCTCACAAACAAGATGGCACCAGCACTGCGACAGGTCTATGACCAGATGCCTGACCCCCGATGGGTCATTTCCATGGGCAGTTGCGCAAACGGAGGAGGATACTACCACTACAGCTACTCAGTCACAAGAGGATGCGACCGTGTTGTACCTGTGGATATCTACGTACCCGGCTGCCCGCCCACCGCTGAGGCACTCATGTACGGTGTCTTCCAGCTGCAGAAGAAGATGAGGCATACCAAGATCACCAGGATGTGGTACAGGAAGTAAAGGGTGGCTGGTTCGGCGTGGTCTATTTTGCAGTCTTTGTACATGCGAGCTTGGGGCATACATCCATTCTGTATAAATCGATATTCCATATGCATTGCGTACACTGAATCGACCCCATCTATGGCGGCATTTTGGTATTACACCGCCTCCCCCAACCCAAACATCTTGACTGAGTTCTTCCAAGCACTACACTATCATTAGTTACTACTCCTGGGCACAAGGGACACAACAAGTACTTACGCATCACAAACCTTCTCCACACTGATTTGCTTAATCTTTGCAATGGCATACGCGACATGTGGAATTGTAGCTGGCTCATTTCGCCCCTTTACCATCATACCTTTAGCCCACTTCTCCTTTTTGACAGCCTTTGGTAAAGGCGGAGCATCTGTGAGGAACTTGGCTGATGCGTGACTGGGCCGCATCTCGCACCATGGCCCGTCTGTTTCAATCTGTAGGCGCTCGAGCGGTATCTGTTTCACGACTGCAATATTCTCATCCGCTGAGAAGAAACGTTAGTCAGTATTTGTAGAAATATCAAAACAGTAGATGAAAGAGGCACATACTCTTCATGCTGCAGCCATTAACGCCAATATCAAAGCCTAGATCCACCAGGCGCTGCATCTCTTCTGCAGTCCCAGTAAAGCTGTGTACGAGACCTCTCTTGGGTAGCTGATCAAGCTTCGCAGTCAATAACCTCTCAAAATCCTCACTTGCAGCACGCGAGTGTAGGAAGAGTGGTAGCTGCACTTCCACCGCAATCTCCAGTTGCGCCTCAAAGTACTTGAGCTGTGGCTCCTTTGCCGTCAGAAAAAGTCGGTCGTAATCGAGGCCTATCTCTCCAAAAGCAACTGCGTGACCTGCTTCCTTGGCTTCAATGGCTAGAGTTTTGAGCGCAGAGAGAAGCTCTGATGCACCGCCGGGATGCTTGTCAAAATGGTTTGCCGAGCAAGGATGTACGCCTACAGTAGCATAGCAGAGGCCTGGATGAGCTTTTGCTATCTCGATAGCGTGCTTTGATTCTTCGAGATCAGATCCTGTTACCATAAACTTCTTGCAACCAGCGTCGACCGCTCTCTGAATAACATCTTCAAAATCATTTTCGTGACGTTGGGTGCCGTGGTATTCACCCCTGAAGATGGGATCGGTGAAGTTGATACCGATCTAGATTTTGTGGTCAGAAGTTTAGCGGGGTAGAGGCGTGAAATATGGACCAACATCAATGTACTTTAATTGCGTCGAAGCAGCCATGTTGCTATGTTGCCGATAAGATTTTAGAGAGAGAGAATGATTGTCTAATGAGAGTGTTAACTTAGAAAACTAGATATTGAAGCGTGTTAAGATGACGCACTTGCAAAGTTGTTCGAGGGCTTTATGGTGCTCGGGACTAGACGTATCTGTTTCGGTTGAATTGTATCTTTAAACAATTTTCGTAGACCATATATCCGTACAGTCATCGAAAACATGGGTCAAAAAAACCCCCGTTGGAGAGGAGAATGAGGAATGGTCACAGTTGCCTGTAGCATCTGAGACTAATACATTTTAAGCCTAGTTCGAACCTTTGCATCTCCCAATCTTGCTCAGCCACTTCATCACCACCGAGCATCTCTACGTACATGCAATAACCATAGCAGGGCATTACACTTAGGTATGAGTGAACTTGATATCTTCATAACACTCGAATAGCGGAAGAAATCTAGCCTGAGTCGGTATCGCAGGCATCGATATCCGCCTCATACACCCCAAGGGGTTTACCTGTGCACCGTGTACTTCCGGTACCCTGAATAACGTACAAGGCGAACATTTCTAAACTGAACAATACAATGGAGAATGTGTGGCATCTCCGCCGCGTCGCGGACAATGCCGCCAAAGCTTGTTGGATATGCTACAAACCATCCACGAGTGTCTTGATTACGCCTTCCAATAAGGTGTGTTACGACTCTGAAACTGAAATATAAGTGCTCATATTAATTCAGGACTTTTTCTACATCTGCGCTGGACACTTGACTGATCGAGGGTTCTGCCAGCCAGAGGCTGAGGAGGTAAAGAGGGTTGCCGATCAGAAAAAGCAAGAGGAGTTGGACCGCGAGATCGAAGCAGTCAAGAAAGAGTATGAACAGAAGCAGCAACTCAAACGTGAAAAGAGAAAAGAAAAGGACAAAGAAAAGGACAAGGAGAAAGAGAAGGAAGAAAAGGCCAAGGAAGATGATGAAGACAAGCAGGACGAGAAAGCCAAAGACGACAAGGCCAGTATGATCATGGAATCTAAATTCCCTGTACTAACTGCCAATACAGATCAAAGAGCTTTCAAAGACAAAGGAGAAGACTCAAGCCGAGCTTGGTCCTCGTATATTCCAACTCAACAAGTGCGCATGTCTCGGGACACTTTCCCCATTATACTGACGTTACACAGAAGCTTCTACCAAATGAGGTTGGATAAACTCCGAAATGCTGAAATCGCCAAAAGAAATCGCGAACGGCTGAACGACCCCAAGAACTTCCCATCGGTACCCAGTGGTAACCCTTAGTCGCGTGTCATGGTCAGCCACATTGCGGTCAACAGCAATACATCAGCTATCAGCGGACTTTGGGAGGGCTGACTGCTGTCAGTCGTCGATCCTTTGCATACAATGCAGTCAGCAATTAGTGGCTGTACAGAATGCCATGCTTACTGGAATTCACACGTGTCGTGCATATTGAAATGTTTTGTTTTACCGTTCATCTGGATTGTGGGTGTTTGAATGTCTGCTGACGGAATAGTTCGCGGCCATTCCGGAGTCATAGAGCTCCATGTCCACCAAGAATAATATCGCTCTTTGCATTTATTCCGCAGCGGATCCATCGATCCAATTTCACAGAAATACTCTCGTAAAACTTGAAATTCAGGCGCCATGTTATGTGGGCAAACATCATGTGTATGGCTCTTCGATCCCGTGGTTGCTGACCATGTGGCTGATAGTAACTGCTCCCTTATACAAGGTGCTTCGTCACGCGCTAGAGTAGCAGATGGATCTGGAAACATACCGTTCTCAAGAAACTCTGCATTGATGAAGGTTAAATTGCGATTCGCTGATTTCACTTTTAATCATTGCCAAAGTCCCATGCGCTTGACGCGGTAGCCATGCGTTTGCCCTTATCGGACTGCACCAATCACACAACATCGCATCTTGTTATACACATGCAAGTCCCCACTCTTCGCAAGTCCTGACGCGAGCTGCACGATCATGTACTACTCCAGTTGGTGTTATTGTGTGATTCGGCCATTGAAGCTATTCGTAGGGCCAAGATGATATTGCATACCAGCTATGTACGAACGAATAGTTACCCACTATCCAGCCCACTTGCATCCCGGCGTACATTGATACTAGAATTGCCGAGTCACAGGATATATATCCGCTCCTAGGATCGTCCATTTCCATGCGATCGGTAGTTGATGCGTCTCTTGGCAGTTCCCAGCCCGGGAGACTTCTCTAATAGACGCATAGTATCAGGCATGATGCAGTAGCTGCAAAGACACGTAAGTACACATTCTCAGATGAAACAACGTTTGGATACTACCCATGCTCCATGGTAGCATTTGGTTACGGTAGCTTCCACGGGCGCAAGGTGCTATCCTTGGGCGCCATCCACTGATACTATTCTCATGACACAAAGTATTAGGGAAGCAAGGCCGCTCATCAACCAAAATCATGATCGACCAGTCAGCCCTGCGTATGCGTCGCCTTGCATGTCATTCCAAGCCATGTTTCAGCTGTCTACCGTTTTGTCGAAGATTGACGCTGATGCAGTAACACAGCCCTTCTCCGCATCCAGAATTGTACTACCGCATCTTGAACGCGCATACTTGAGCTGATGACGGTCAGCCCGCTGCGCGGTGTGATTAAAACTATGACATGAAAAAGCTTGTCTGCCACGACGAACGCAAGGCAAACATGATGAGCTTCTGGTAGAACGCCTGGCGGGTCAGCATCGTCCCGCGCGGGCTTACTATTACATAGTAAGACACCACATCGTTCGATACATTATACACAGTGTGCGGATTCTTACCGTTCCATTTCCGCACATCCAAACAAGTAGTTGATAAATTGTGCATATGATGCTGGCCCAACCAGCCCTATCGGAGGAAAAGATAGTTGGGCCTTGCCACCTTCCCAAAAAAGCATGGACCTACGTACCATAAACACATGGCAAGACACCAGGAAATGCATATCTGTGGCACCTAGCCCTACCATAGGGCAAATGTAACAAAACGCGCAGATGGATCCCTTGTCGGAGTGGCCGGCTCTCCACTCTTTTTCGACCCGCTTATCAGGCGTCCAAGGAACGCTGCAACTTTTTGCGTATACCGTGTCTGCCGTCAGCCAGAACGCGGTGAGCCTGATTTTGGGGACGAACAAGACACGACAGGAATGTCACTGATATTTTGTTCCCTGTTTGTAAATGCACTATGAGGCGCCGTCCCAATTGGGCTGGCTCTATTATCCGACTTTCGAGTCATGATTGTATTCAACGAGGCTGTCTTACCATCCTCGCTTGTGCCATGTTGCTGCACGTATAGATTGACGCAACTGAAGATACGGGAACCTCGTCCTTCCAAGTTCAGGATCCATGGATGTGGAGACTTATGATAAGTATTGTTGCGGTTGGCGTGGGGTGGAAATGAAGAAGAAAATGTACTTGCGTTGTCAGACGGGCATTTCGCGACTCGAGAACACTGGGCCCGCGCATATGCGAACACATGGGACGGCACGTTGCCCACAACACTGAACTACTATGAGCACGTGGTAACCAGGATAAATCAATGTGTAAGTTTGCTCCTTCAGCTGGTACATCTTGATCCAGATCTGGTCAGGTGATGTCGAGCCATTATGGCGCAAGTACAGGGCAAGGAGTACGCTTTCGCAATGCGTCGGGCTTATTCGAGCGATACAGGGTCGTGAGACTCTGTGAATTGTTTGGGATAAATCAGCCCCTCGAGAGCTGATTTTTAAGATGCGGAAAAGATCCATGGATGACTTGGCGCGTAAGCACCGTTTCTTATGTACATACGTAGAGCATATCCTGGAATAATTTAGTGCGCGGAAAGAAGTTTGCCCGATCTGTCAAAATCTCATCTCTCACCTGCAATGCCCGATGCGCCCTCCAGCTGAAACTAAAAAGATAGAAATAAAAGGCTCATGCAGGGCTCCAATTATGATCCCCTATCAAATTGGTTTTAGATTTGTGTGCTTGGAAATCAGGAAAACGTAGTCATCCTGGAATCAACCATGGTCACTACACAACTACCGGTAAACTTTGTTCAGCCACAATAACAGGCATGACTCGTCTTGCTATTCTCTCACCTCAGAACAGAGTGTATACTAAAGGGGAAAGGCGTGACCCGAAGACGGCATACCACGCGATTGGTCCGACTAAGCATGCCCAGACAACAATGTTAGAGTTTGAAACCTTGAAATATGCTATGTACACAAACACATGTAGACATGATTCATCAATAGTACGGAGGTTACTTTAACTTCCGAACTAAACCTACGAACCAGAGCCAGCAACCTAACAAAAAAGAGCGGTATTAAGTCGAATTTTGATTTTTCTTGCTGAGCGCCCAGCAAATCAGAACCAAGATAAATGAACTTTGTAACCCGTCTTACATACACACGCGAGATAACCCCCCCTCCCCATGCCAATATTTGCCTCTTCACACAAAACACAGGTTGCATGGCATCCAGGAAGATGTGTAAACCTTGACTCAGCCAAAAAAACGACCCGACGATGCCTAACCCCCAGCAGAGCAACACGTTGCGATGCGAAATCATGCGCACGCCCACATCCGCCGCCGCCGGTACTATTCCTTAGTATGCCTCTTAACGTACAGCTTCACAGGAAACCCTAACCTGCACCACACCAAGGCGTCCTACCACACACACGCTCGCACGCTCACCAACACTCACACACACGTACGGCTCGGCAAGTTCCCACGTCGGTGATTACCTCATCTCTAGTGCTCACCGTTCTCTCCTTCTCTCTTTCTCCCCCCTCCCCACAGTCTTCCCGCATTACGCCCTGGCGCGAGAGGGCGCGCGGGAAGGGAGAAGATCGGTAAGAAGGCAGTAGAACAAATTAGCTAGTGAGAAAAAAGGGTCCGGTTTGCTCGGCGGAAAGACAGGAAATGTGCCGGTCGGGGGAGTATGGGGGAGTGCCATAGGTAAGTACAGGGTAAGCACTATGAGGGTGGGGTTTGGACAGGGTTAGGGGTGGGTGGTCCCAGGCGAGTGAGTACTTTAAAAGGGTCGGATCACGTGGACATGGGAGGCTGGGGTCAGGTCCGATGCAGGATGCGTTGTTTGGTGTAGTGCTATCTTGTCCCTTTGTTGATCTCAAGCAGTCTCGACTTGGCTGGCGTAGCACAGGAGGGGTAGCGGAAAGGGCCGGGAAGCACAACAGTGGCAGATCGTCACGGCACTTGTCTTCTAGTCTGTTAGAGACACGCCGCGTAGATGGCGTTGATGCTTGTAGTTGCGTGTAATTTGCGGTCTTCGCGCGTGAGCCATGATCAAGTATCGCAAGATGGGGGTAATCTGCCGAAGACACGTACTCACTTGAACAGAAGTGCGCAATGCTATAATGATCTACTCAGCCCAATATGACAAATGGGTCCCTGTTTTCCTCGCAAAACACACTAGAAGAAGATAGGTACTTACGATACCAAGCACTTACCCCATCCATAAATAATACCCCCCGAAAATACCAGCCCTATAGTAACCGCCCTGCATGGTTTCCACTATACCTCGGAAGCACCAAAAAGGAAATAAAAACTCCAAATACGAAACACCACCATCATCAAGCTCCACAACCGTGTCCTCTTTCTGTTTTAGTTAGTGAAGTAAGAATAAAAAAGAAGGGCCAGAAAAACAGAAAGGGCCTGAGCTTAATAAACTAAAATAAACTAAAAAGCCCGCAACCTAAATACCTAACTACCTTATACGCAACTTGACCAAAAAAATCTAGGTTTGAAACCCACACGGAGCGCGGTCCCCAGACTAACTCCCAACGAAAAAAAAACACACTACTACTCAAATATCACACCGTTTAGTGTACGTTACCCTTGTTAGTACTCTAACACACACACACACACACACAAAATGCACTAAAGTCGGCGATGAAATCACCCCAAGGAAACCCCAAGTATTGGAAATGTACATACATACATACATGTACCATAAACTTTGTTACAAAACACAAGTATAGTATGCATGGCCATATTGCCCCCCTCACTAGCCTTACCTAGCGCTTGCGCTTGCGCATGCCAAAAAAAAAGACGAAGCAACTAGTTACGACAATACTTTACTACTTTACTTGACTTTACTTGAGTACGTATGTGGTCATTGCGTTATTTTCCTAGCCCGGATCTTTACCTTGAAGGGGGTTGGTTTAGAATAGTGCAAAGAGTGGAGTACGGAGAGAGAGAGAGAGAGACAGAGAGGAAATGCGCGCCATTGACGCAGACGCATTCTTGCCCCCCCCCCTCCATTTGGAGTTTAAACTAGTAGATGGGGTAGTAACGAAAAAAAAACTGGGTGTGTGAAACCGCTTACATCCGAAGACAACCGGATAGCTGCTTTCAGTAGCTTGGGTTCACGGGGTGTTTTTTTTTTCCTTTCTTTCTTTTGGAGAGACAGGGGCCGGGGGGGGGGGAAACTGGGGGAACCGGAGGGACCGGGGATGCTGGTAAAACATATGTGTGTAGTGTAGTGTATACGTGTGTGTTTCTTCTGGGAAGAACCTCGTTCAAGAAAAATATATATGATGCGTGTATTGTTGAAACTAATGTTTTCGGGACTCTTGCTGACGGGTTGGGGATTATATGCAGGGCTTGGTTGCTCACGGGGGTGGTGGATGCTGACGACGGGATACGAGGGGGGGGGGGAACCCTGAGAACAGTCGTACTACGGGGAACACCGTTTGTTTTTTCTTTTCACCAAGGAACATCAGTCCCCCCTCCCTCCCGGTTGATTGCTGATGCAAAAGTCGAGGTGGCGACTGATATGCGTGCACATCACTTTGACTAGTAAGCATCTAGTACTTGGAAAAAAAATGACACTACCAAGAGTTTACTACTGAGGCTGACGCTCACTTGTGCGTCTGCTAGGCCCTGAGGCTGAACGTCAAAGTAAATGAGCTGAGAAATGAAGGCAAAAAAGGGGAATGCACGTTGCCACTATCACGCTACACAGCCCTAAGATGTGCATCAAGATTTGACATTGCTTTCCATGACGTTGTTGTTCTAGTTGAGCCTCGTATCCCATACTGCCCGCCCACCTTAATGCTGGGGTATTCCAAGCCAAGAAATCAGCCGAGAACGGCGAAACTGAAAATACAAAGTAGGCAATTATCAATATGATATTCGGCCACGCCGTACTACTAATGAGAGAGCAAAAACTTTTTTCCCCTTTGATATGACTTTAACAGTTGTTGTTGTATTCGTAAAATGGTTTTTGTATAATAGGTCAACAAGGAATGTAGTCGCAAAAAAAAAGAAAAGAGCTGCCTATGAAGATGATGCTGGACATGTCTGTCCTATCAACGCCGCCGCTGAAACAAAAACACCCATAGAAATGCATCGAATGTGTCGTTGAACCAGCATCAGAAGATTGCCTGATACCGATACGTATAACCAAATGCCATCATCAGTGTCGTTATGCCGAAGCGCCCTGGCCTGGCCGGGAATGAATGGTAAATGCAAGACAATTTGCGACTGTAAAGACTTTTTGCTAGATTAAGACCATGCCTGGGAATGCTGATATGTAAGCCAAAAGCAATGGTTTGGAGAGAATGCTACTGTCGAATGGAACTGAATAATGTCGTCATAGACTGCGCTTCGTTTGAATAAATTCCGGTCAGATCAGCCTGGAGATGGTGTGCCGCACGTGTCTCCTAGGTGTTTGGTAAAACTTTTGGTGAATCAAGATTCGTCATGTGCTTCGCTGATGACGCCGGGCTTGGTTGTAAGGCTCGAAGGGCCGGATATCGAGGCAATCGAGCCGACGCGCTCTTGAGGCGGCGGCTCGTCTCTCATGCAGGCGTTTTCCAACATGTTAGTCCACTTTCCACTGGTCCCTGCATGGCTGTGCTTCAGGTGCTGTCGGAAATGGTCTGCACGGAAGAACTTCTTGGCTTGATTGCATTCGCCGAACTTGTGCACGTGGTTCAAGTGCTCTGCTCGAGCCTCCCAATCCGCAGGGTTAGGGAATTCTTCACCGCAATACCCACAGACGTCTGCGGTAGCCGGGCGAGTAGCCGAGGGGTGGAAAGCTGCATGAACGCCGGCAAGTGTTGCGCATGACCACGAGTGTCGCCGTAGGTGGAGAGAGTTTTGGTGGCGCTCAGCTTCGTTCTTGTTCTTGAAACGATTAGGACAATACTGGCAGATATACTGCTTCTCCAGCTCGTGCAATCTGTTGCAGGGGTCAGCGCATGGTCATCCGGGCATGGGTAGGGCAAATAGCGGTGGGTAAGACGCCGACCCATGTCACTTACCGGAGCTCCTCTTCACTGTCGAATTTTTTAGGTTTCTTGGGGCAACACTCGCAAATGTAAGCACCTGGCAGGCGGTTTGCGATTGAATTCTGTCGCGATTGTAGCATGCTTTCTGTTGACATTTTTCGGATTTGTGGATGCTCGGTCTCCGAAAAGCCTCGCTGATGCGGAGGTCGTGACAGGGACCCGCGGGGGCTGGGATCCAACGACCTGTTAGCTGCATAAGGCGACACGGGGCCCAGTTCCGTCTCCCCTAACGGTGACAACGCATTGGGTGACAAGCGCTGATCTCCGCCGTAGCTTGTTATACTACTTGGGGCTGTGGAGAAGCCAAACGAAGACGCAATCGAGCCGCTACGTTGACTTGCAGATCCGGTTGAAGACAAGGAACTTGGGTTTGAATGGAACCGCGATGC